CTATTTGTTTAATCCATTGTTGGTCAGGGCCACTGCTACTCGCACCCAGAAGTATTCCTAACTGTTACAGCTGGCAAAAGTTTATTCCTGCAGTGTTTGGGTTGGCCCCAGATATTGACCCGTACCACCTGGGTAAAATAACTACCAATCCAGTGAGGAGAGGCTGAGCTCCCCCTGAGAGCTGGGAGGAGAGGTGGAGTAACTCCATTATAACCTCTTCTCTCAGGAACAGCCTCTCGGCACTTTCGGCTACGAAAGAGAGCGGGAGACACTGCTTAGCATGGCATCCACGGACCCGTGTAACTAACACAACACAGTAGAGACCCAGGTCTAATAAAACACAGAGGCCCCAGGCTTTCAGGGCCCTTGCTGTGAGGAGCTTCCCCCGGGGCGTCAGCACCCACGGGCGCTGTCTCAGGACCGCTCTCCCCGCTGCCGCCTCCATCTCCTCGCTCTTCCCCTCTGCGCTGCCCTAAGTCTCTGGGGTTTTACCGGGAAATGTCTCGCAATCTATTCTGAGGCAGGCAGCCAGCCAGATGGGAGGTCTTAAAGAAGCAGAGTAAGAAAATATCGAACCTACCCAAAGCTTTGGCTGGATTTGTTTTCCAAAAAAGAAAAGAAGAAATAAAACGTGTCTTCCAGAGTCCCTGGCTTCAGTGACTCTACTCTTAGAACCAACCTACCAGGTATTTTTTCGTTAATTTTCCATTGTTTCCGGTCCAACGAGGCCTTGGCCTCAGCGATCTCCAGCCCGCTGGAAGGACAGACCCCAGCTGTGCCTGACCCTCTGACCCTCTGCTCTGGGACAGGAGCAAAGGCCACAGCCCTGCCCGCCCTCTGCCCTTTCGCAACGTTAGTCACCCAAATCACTAACTTAGTAACAATTTCACAGTCGCTTTCAATGCTTATTTTGGAATCATCTGTCTATTGAGTGTTTATTTTATAGCCATTTAGAAAGCCAGCGATTACGTGCATCCTTCATGCTCTAAACCACGAGTTTTTTGCCGGCGCACCAGTGCACTGCGAGAAGTTCTAAAACACGCAACACCTGACTGTGGAGCCAGGGGCGCCGCCCTCTTTTCTCAGATTGTCGAGTGAAAAAAGTAACAACAGCCCACACAGCAACAGCCATCCAGTGGGAATGGATCAAAATTATACCTATTTTTTTGTTCAATGGCAGACATATATTTTTTGGTGTGGGGAAGAAGTGTAGTAATTAGTTTATACGTCATGAGATGGAAAAACGGTTGAAAATCAGTGCTTTAAGCCAATGCTTCCAGAAAAAATCACCAAGGTCATGGACAGACATTCAATACCAGAGTGTCAGCCTCGGTGTGGGCTGGCCTATCGGGCAGGCATTCCATCCAGCTACTCCTAACAGAAACACGCTGTCTTTGGAAACGATAGAGATTTATTTCCCGCTTTTGTAAAAGAAAGTCTAGAGGCAACTCAGGTAGTCATCAAGCTCCAGAGAAAGTACTACCCTTCTAACCATGTTTTTTCCCCTCAGAGTTGCCTAAAGTCACAAAAGAGCCCTGGCAGCTCCAGCCATTACATCCACATTCCAGGCGACAGAAAAGAGAAAGGGGTGGGAGCAAGATCACCCTTCCCAGATGAGTCAGCTCCTTTTAAATGGTTCCTGGCAGATGCCACCCAACCCCCCCTTCCACTTACACCTCACTGGCCACTCCTACAGAGAAGGCTGGAGCTGTGGTCTTAATGTCTGTGTCCGCCCAGAATTCAAACATCGGTTGCCCCCCTAACTCCTGAAGATAACAGTATGAGGAGGGGGGGGACTTTGGAAGGTGCTACCTGTGTGCAGGAAGACAGCCCTCCCCCCAGGCATGCCGGTGCCTCGGCCTGAGACTGTCCAGCCTGCAGGACGGTGAGAGATAAACCTCTGTTGTTCATAAGCCACCCGGTCTGTGTATCTTGTCACGGCAGCCTGAACAGACCAAGACAACTGGGAACTCTGGTTTCAGGCTGGGTGCTTTGCCACCCCCCAGGTTCTGTTTACAAAGAAGAGGAGACAGGCTAGTAAGGAGGCAACTGGCGATTTCTTCCACTTTGGGCAGAAGAACTAGTGTCTTTCCAGAAAGTGAGGGTGTGAGCACTTCCAAATCAGCTGTCAGGACCCTGGGGCTTTTGGAGACACAGGGAGCAGCCAGCACGCCCCCCGATGGAGTGTCCTAAGTGACCCTACTCAGGTAGGTCCAGGGAGCAGAAGTGTACACCTGGATGATCCTTCACTTCTCAATCTCTGCTCCCTCACAGCAGAGAAGATCCACCTTTCCACGGGCGGAGATCAAGGGCGCTCTGAGTTTGGGACAACATGACCTAAGGTAAACCCGATCTGAGGACACCCAGCCACAGCCCGCTGGCCGGCCGTGCCGGTCCACCTCGCTCTGTAAATAAAGACAGTTTGGGAAACGGCACACACACCTGTGTGTGCGCTTCAGTGGCTGCGAAAGGGGTGGCCTGGGCTTTATGAGTTGTTCACAACCAGCGTGTCTGGGACAGAAAATGCGTCTGTATAAAGTAAATTTCGATATCTCTTACAGTTTGCAAAGTGCTCCCACATATATTACAGGGCGCGTGGCTCCTCCCACGCGATCAGACGAGGACACAGCGGAACCAGGAGGAGGAGCAGGGCCGTCCAGGTGCGGGCAGCACGGCAGAAGGGGATTCTGAGCGGGGTCTTTGGAACCTGCCGCTTCCCCGGGGGTCTTCTGTACGTCACACACAACGTGTCAGAAAATAGTTGTTTCTACGAGTTGCCACCAACCGTTCGCACATAAAAACTTGGACAAGCCAGTTAACAACACTGAGCCCAAAAGCACACTTGGCAAGAACCCGGACACGGTGAGTCACTGGAGAGATTGCACCTGGCTCCCTCCCCCAGGAGGCTGGTGCCGGGGCCAGAGGTCTTGAGGAGGCGGTGACACACCCAAACCACAGCTTCCAAAGACAGTGGGAGCTCTCCAACCCACCTCTCAACCCGAGGCTGCCCTGCTCTCTCCAGCGCTGCTTTTCAGTTTGCAGTATACAGGAAAACTTTCAGGTTATAAGATGTATTTTTTAAAATTATTCTAGGGCCAGAGGCAATGGCATTGTGGCGAGAAATGTGCCAGGGACTTGGCTGCAAAGAATGTCACGAGCGCTGTGCATTCTCACGGCCTCAGGGGCGTGAGGGGAGCAGCCCCTGGCCCTTTCTCCACCGCAGTAACCTCCCTGCCGTGCTGTCTTCTCCCAGCGCCAGCGTGTTTGTGTGAGATACGGAACCCGGCTCTTAGCAACTTTGGTACGTTCCTTTGTACGAAATTGTCTGAGGTTAGAATGGAGAGCAACATTCTACATGGGAAATTCAGTAAGGTAAAGCCCTCATTCATACATGAACACCATTAAGGCAGCGCTTGAAGCCGGGGTGTATTCCCCCAGCTGCACACCCCAACTCCTTGCTCCTGGGCACCCCGTCCACAGCACAAGTTACTGACAGAGGCGTGGCCCCCCCGGAGACCAAGGTCACCTGCCATGAAGAGACACCCAGGCTTTCCTTACTCCCTGTCCCATTATAAATCTCCAAAATCCCATTGGCTGCTCAACAACCAATCTTCACAGCTGGCTCTGTGTTCTGTTTGCCCCCCGGGAAGCTGACCTCTGCCAACGGCCTTCACCACATCCTTGTTCCCTGGCTTCCTGCTGGATCCAACCAACAGGGGGCGCCCGCAGGCACTCAGAGAGCAGGAGGAGCAAGACACTGGAGCGTTCCTGTCTCCAGCTTCCCTTCTGCCCAGCGACAGTGGTTGCTGACCGGGCTCTTCCACCGAAGGCAGCCCTCCCTGCAGACCCGCACCTGCCCCTCTTCAGGACCCTTCAGGCCCAAGGACGACTTTCCCTCCTCCCTGTGGCAACCCTGCCATGCTCCCTCATTCCCTATCGATATCCCTGAGCCTCGCCCACATCTTTGTAAATGGTCCTTAATTCAACTCTTCTCCGTTACCGCTTTTGAATGTGCCACCCATTTCCTGCCATGGAGGTGCTGCTTGGTGCAATGTCTTCATCCTGGGCAGTACCTGAATTCGTGTAAGAAACTCTACTTCTGCAGTCTCCCCAGATGAAGGTACTTCCTACCCCCAATTCTAACTGTAAGGAAGCGCGAAGTCTCTGAAATGCCACCACCACACGGTGACCCATTCTCTGTCCCTTCCTAAACCCCGGGCACTCTGAATCCTGCCTCAGAGACGCCCTGTCCATGCCAAGAGTCCCCACCAACCCGAGCCACCTCAGAGGTCATCGACAGTCCATCCACACAGCCGTGAGGTTCCGGAGCGCTGTGATTTCTACCTCCCCCTTCTGCTTGCACTTTCTGCCCGCGCTTCCCAGACCACCTCTCACTCTGCGTCACCTTCCAGTTCCCCTCTGCCAGCCACAGACACCTGCGACCTGACGAAACCTCCAGAACCCGGACCCTGCATTTCCATCGTAGCCATCACCTGCCTCATTCTCATGAGTATTTCCTTCCCTCTCCATTCTAGGCACTTCTGCCCATCATCTGGACCACGCCTTTCCAGCACCTTCTTCCTCAACCCTCCCTTGTCAACCTCCCTCCTCCCTTATTTAACCTGCCCGAAGCTGAGGCGTATCAGGGGTCATGCAGGCCAGGTAGAGCAGGTCACCCAAATGCTTCACAGCCAAGTGCCCACTACACAGTGACCACTCGATGGTCTTCCCATCTTTCCCCTCTCCCGAGTGGGGTTTATCACTGAGCCTTTGTGTCTCAGCAACTCTTCCCAGAGGGCAAAGCCTCCCCTGGGGCCAAGCTTTCCCCCCACACCCCAGTCTGACAGCCAAGAATCTCATCAACCTTTAGGGTTTCCTTCTGAAATGCAGCATCTCTCTCTCTCTCTCTCTCTCTCTCTCTCTCTCTCTCTCTCTCTCTCTCGGCTAAACATAAGAAAGTGATTAAATCAACATAGGAAATTTTTTAAAAATTGATTTACCTTAAACGCTAACCTGTTGCCACCAGTTGCTTGGAACTGAAACTATGGACGCTGTCTCTTGCCTCTGGGAAGTGGTCCCCCCCCTCCCCTGGGCCTTCTGCCTCTTACCTATCCTCACACCTCCTGGCCTGCCCTCCTCCTGCCCATTGGATGGCTTCAAATCACTGCTGCAGACTCATACAGCCTGATTGGCTCAGGTCGCTGTCAGTCCCTACCCTGGCCTCACCCTTTCTCAAGTTTACAGGTCTGTTGCCTAGAAAACCCAGGGACTGTGGAAGCCCAAGCTGTTTGCCCTGAGAGGGAAGCCAGCGGGAAATTTTGCTGGCTACTCTTTGCTTTCTAAGCCATCAGAACTCGCCTCACATGTTTTATAAGAGAATGTTCAGCAAATTCTCTTCATTCTTTTAGGCAATGCCTTCCTGCCCTTCTGTTGTCCCCATGGCTCACCGCCGGTGACACTGAAAAGCGCAGCACAGGGGAGCAGGCAGGTGTGGTTGCCAGTGAGGGAGAGTCCTCCCTCCCGCGCCACATTGCGCACCGGCAGGGTGCCATTTCCACCTGTGCCTACCGTACAATCCCAGAGACTTTCTTCTAGAATTCTTTTTTTTAAAGATTTTATTTATTTATTTTTAGAGAGGGAAGGGAGGGAGAAAGAGAGAAAGAGAGAGGGAAACATCAATGTGCAGTTGCTGGGGGTCATGGCCTGCAACCCAGGCATGTACCCTGACTGGGAATCGAACCTGCGACACTTTGGTTTGCAACCCATGCTCAGTCCACTGAGCCACACCAGCCAGGGCTCTCCTAGAATTCTTATGGGCCTTCATGCACGCTGTTAAGCAGAGATCAAACCCCACTCAGACATACAAGTGTTCCGGCACAACTTGCTGAAAAGATTGTGCTTCCCCCACTGAGTTCTCTTTGCACCCCTCTCAAAAGCCAACTGACCCTGCGGGTGGGATTCTATTTCAGAATTTTCAAGATGTGCCTGGAGAGGCAGCCAGAGGCAACCACAGAAGTCCTGTGTTCCCTGTGATGGAACTAGCAGAGGGTCTTCATTGGGGATGATGGCACTGGGTTCCCAAGTCGCTAAGGCCATGGGGTCCCCAAGGCCATGTTGGCAAGAATCTTATCCGCAGTCGAGAGAGGTGGCCCCTTCACCTGGCAGAGTCCCCAGACCTTGTCTGTGGAAGCTCCTCTTCTTTGCATTTGTTCCAACACGACAGTTCTCAAAATTCATTTTGGATCTTTAAGTCAGGGGTAAAAAAAATCCCTAGAAGGCTGAATCATGAGTGCAAGGGTTAGCTGATTATTACTTACTGTCCTCTCGAGATGAAATTCAAAGGCATTGGCGGAAAACCCGCTCTGATAGGTGTTTTTCTAACGTTTTGATGATAGGTGTTTTTCTAACGTTCGGCCCCTTTGATTTGAGGACGTACAAAAACCAGGTGATTACTGGCCAGCCCGGCGTGCAGAAAGGAGCCTCCTTGGGTGTCAGGGGTAACAATGCCCCTAAGACAAAGAATCCCGAGATATCTTCTTAGCCGGAGGGCATTAAACTGCCCTCCACATGCGTGTGCGTGGGTGGGAGGGCCACACCAGCCAGGACCACCACGGGGCAGGGCAGGGCATTCACAGCCCAGGGCTGCCCACGGGAGGGGCCTGCGCAGGGCTGCAACAAGGCAGCCCTCACTCCCCGAGCCCCGAGCCCTGGCTGGCGGCTGCAGCCTGCAAGCAGGGGCAGCAGGCTTTGCGGCTCTTGCCCTGATCTGCCCGGCGGCTCTCCTGTCCCTCTGGGGTTGTCTCTGAGGGGCATCCATCCCTTCTAAATGACACCGCTATCCCACTCAACGACCGTAAGGAGATGAAAGAACGTGGAAGACACAACCCACCTCACAGTGGCAGAGGGTCACTGCCCGTGTTTAGCACGTTCGCCCCTCTGACAGGTCTGCTGTCCACCCACCGCTATGGGCACCGCGGGTTTAAGGCTGCCCCTGAAGTCACCGAGTCACAGGGTCACGGGTGGACCCGAAGGTCTAATCCAGCCCCTCCCTGCCTGCCCTCCACACGTGACCAAGGCTCTAGTTTCTACCCGCGACCCACGGGTCATTCATTTTCTTCCCAACACCCCTGCCCCACGCTAGTGGGAGTAGTGATGTCCCCAGCTGGGCAGTCAGGGCTGGGCGATGTTTCTTGGACATCCTGTGCAGCCTGGAGTGCTCGGGCGACTCGGGTCTGGCTGATGGGGTTTACCTGGGAGACTCTGGGTGGAAGACCCATGTGGGAAACCCCTTTAAAAAGGGCACACTCAGCTCTCCGGGGACTGGTTTAACTCTCTCTCCAGGTTTCCCTGTTCTTGCCTCAAATTCCAATGTGTTGACGGGATCCAAAACGACTACCTTGAAATGTCAGGGTGAGCTTACATATATAATTTCTCGTACACGAGACACAGACGAAAGAAACCCTGAGCGGCTCCAGCCTCTGTTTTTCTGGGTTCCGCTCCCAGTGACTGCAGCTTCCAACAGCATGCCTGCCACACACACACAGAAAGGCGCAGCTATCTCAAGGCACAAAAGCACCATTAGTTTAAAAGGAAATGCACTTCTTTTTCATGGCTTCATTTTTTTAATGGAAAAACTCAGAAGACAGCGCACAGGGATGGGAAGCGGACCAGGGCCCCTCCCGGCCATGACGGCCCCACCGTCCCCGCAGCCGGTCCGCAGAGACCCGGGAGGGCTCCGAGGGGGCACCGAGGCAGGGGCCGGACATGGACTCCTGCAGAGCCGCGCATCGGGCCCTGAGGGCACACGTGCACGCAGGCTTCCTGAGCTTTGACAGTTTGCGAGAGAAGCACACAGAAAGCAAAAGACTGAGCCGAGCGCCTGTCTCGGGAGTTACTCTGTGACAAGTGGAGGCAGGGCTGAGGGACAGACGCTGAGAAGACACTGGACCTGGACGACGAAATGGCGCAGTCCCGGCCGGTGCCCCAGAGAGGGGCGAGATGAAGAGAGTGGGCTCCAAGGGTCAGGGGCCCAAGCTCCCCAGAGACGGACTCAGACACCGAGCCCCGCGGACCGCCGAGCGAAGAAGGCGGCAGCGCTGAGTAAGGAATGTCCGTCGTAGGGAGGAGCCAGTGGGCAGGCGTTTGTAGCAAAATTAGCCCATGAGCGTGATGGGAGAACAGGAGCTGCCAGAACTGGGGAGAGCCCCCCGAGACACGGTGGCACCCACACCAACACCCACCCCCCCGCAGTCAGCACCGCGCCTCAGGCCTTCTTCAGCTTCCCGGCCCCACACAGCCACCTGGCCGCCAGGCCCAGCAGCTTCCCGCAGAGCCACACGGTGCCCAGGCTGAGCACCAGCAGGAACGAGGCGACGTCCAGCAGGTACTGCTCATACCACGGCTGCTGGAAGGCGTGGGGTTTGAGGTGCGCCGCTCCCCCCGTCTGGAGGATGTGGTCGATCCAGCCCACCAGCCGCTGGGCGGGGGTCTGGGGGTGGGAGCGCCGGATGACGCTGGCGGCCACCGCCGCCGCTTTGTACCTGTTGGCAGAGACACACACACACGTGAAATAGGCATGTGTATTTATTTCTTCGTGTGTATGTCTCTTTTGTGTATATATACAATATATACCTATTTTATTTATATATGCATGGATAGATATACACACACACACACACACACTCTGTACATATCCATGTATGTACACACTCTGTGTGTATGCATGCACCCACAGGGTGGGCCAAAGTAGGCTTACCGTAGTTCATGTGGAAAATAATACAACAGTCAATAGATACTAACACAGGAATAAGCCCTGTGTTTTGCCTACGCACGACTGTAACCCTGCCTTGGCCCCACCCTTATCTGAGTGCCATCCTCGGGTCGGAGGGACGTCCAAGGCCGCGGGTTAAAAATTCAGCCAGTCCCGAGGCCAGAGCTCATTCTGACCATCATGGAATGGACTTCTGAGGGATTCCCAAACTGGACTTTTCTTGCAAGTGTCATGACCTACGTGAAGCTGAATCGTTAGAAAGTAAATTCTAAATTAGCAAGTTCTTTGGGTTACAATTCCTGGAACAACAAATAATTTTATAAATTTGAATAATGATAAAATAAAATCTCTCTTATTCTTCCTTGTGTTTGTTATTCAAACTTTTACCAATGTGACATGAAAGGCACCTATATTTTGGGCCCGATAACTGAGAACAATGGAGCCTCGATTTACGGAAGTGGGGAGCATCTGGCCAGCAGGGTCAGAGTGTTGAGAGCAGCCCAAAGCTGGTATCCGGTCACGGCACAGCTGAGACGCCGACCTGACGATGAGGAAGAGATGCCAGCAGGAAGGCGAAAGATCACGGTAACCAGCAGAGAGGTCTGGGTTGTAGAGGTCAGTTTGGAAATTAACATTCGTCTACAGAGGGTGTTTCAAACCGCGAGACTCGAGAGAACCCGAGAGTTAAGCGTGGATTAGCAATGAGATGAGACCCGAGGACCAGGCCCTGGGGGGGAGCCCCGCGAAGTCTGGGGCGTGTGGGGTTGAAGAGAAATCGACCAAGGAGACTGAGGGGGAGCAGCCAGTGAAGGGGGGAAACAGACTACGGCGTCTGGGGGCCACTGGAGTCCCCGTTCAGGGGCCAGGCAGTGACCAGTTGGGAGGAAGGAGGCTGGTGGGGTGAGCAAGATGGGGACTGACAGTGGCCCTTGGCTTTGGCAGCATGGACGCCCCTGGCGCCCTGGCTGAGAACGGTCTGGCGCAGTGAGGGAGCCTCCCTGGAGCGGGCTGATGACAGATACGATGAGGGGAAGTGGTGGCAGAGCAGGGACGACCCCTTGAAAGAGTTTCCAGCGAAGGAGAGCCTAGATCTGGAATACAGCTGCAGCGCGATGAAGGGTGGAGAAGGCTTGTTTTCAGCGCAGGGCCCTTCGGGGTCAGGTTCCTGCACTCTGATCACTGCATCGTGGTTCTGCAGGAAAACGCTTCCTTCACAGGGAACGCGGGCTGAAGTCTTTACAGGGACAGTGTTATGACATCTGCAACAAATTCTCAAAGGAGTCTGCCATTTCTACACACCTAATAGTCTG